TCAAAAAAAAAAAAAAAGAAAAGTTATTTTAGTGAGTTATTTTACATCTTCTATTTCATACTAAGTCTTCTAAACCCAGTATATATTTTACACTTAAACAGCATATGTCATTTCAGATGAGTTACATTTCAAGTATTCAATAGCCACATGTGGCCAGTGGCTACCATATTGGACAGAGCAGGTCTACATTTAATGGTGTTCGGTTTTAGGATGTCTGTGTATTTTATTGTAAACCACCTTGTATCCTGAGGAATCCTATTTTCAGAGTGGTTAAGGACACTGTATTCCTTATTGAATGGGGCCTTCAGCAAATTCTCTGTTCCTCAATTTCCTCATCTATAAAATGGGGATAATAATATTACTTCTATCAGGGTTACTGTGTGAGCATGCAATTAAATAATGCATATAAACTGTTCTTGGTATATTATAAATAACTAATAAAGGTTTATCGTGTTTATTTTTATTTTTGAAAACATAGTATATGTTATAGATACATAGCCATGAGGTGTATGTTTTTTCCCCCTGAAACTTAAGATTCTTAAGGATTGTAGGGATTATAAAAAAGAAATTTTCAATTCATAGCAGAGACGTAAAAACATCTAGACTTTTTTGCAAAGCTTAACATTTAACTAATATGTTATTTCATTATACTTGCAGTACTTGTAGATGGTCTTAATGCTATAGACAAAGATAAATGCTTCTAGAACACTAATTTCTTCTTTTGTTGGTCCAGGGTGAGTTTGTAGATGACGGGACTGAAACTCACTTCAGTATCGGGAACCATCAGTGTTATATAAAGGCCGTCAGTAGTGGGAAGCGGAAAGAAGGTATTATTCATACTCTCATTGTGGATGACAGAGAAATCCCAGAGATTCTTCAATGACTTCATGTTAATGAATTTTAATCTTGGGAAGTAAAGATCATGACTTTTTAATTACTGTGGTAATTAAATGTGTTCAGTATGTACTTATCAGTACATTTAGTCTGGAATGTTTTTATTTTTTAGTTACTTAAAACTGTAACATTCCAAGGGTCAGGAGAAAAAACAAATTATGTACAACCGTAAAAATTACAATTTATTTTGTAAATAATTTAAAATGTTTTCAAACCAAATGGAAAATGAGATATGGACCCAAATCACTAATGTTTTCCAACAGTAAATTTTACTATAATAAACACTGTAAAATGAAATTGGTGCTTCTTGATTTGTGTTTCTAAAAATGAATAAGTCTTCATATATTTTTAACCTATGCAGGTATGTTGTCTATCTGTTTAGTTTAAAGCAATTGGCACATAGAGATACAATTAGTTGAACTGAAGAAAAATAGAAAACCCTTTCTATTTGGAAACATATTAAGGACATGTCAAATAGTGTCATAAGAATTTTACTTAAAATGTGTTTCTGAAAATGTAGTTGTTTTGTTTAATTAACACGGTGAGGACAAAAAACAAGAGGAAAAGAAGCAAACTTGTTTACGCCAGACTGTCTCAGGTGCATCCTTAGTGCTTAAAAAGTCGGAGTTGCACACCCATCTCTGAAAGTAGCACCAGCATCAGTGCTTTCGTGACGGAATGAGGCCCATCCAGTCATACTCACAAAGACCAGCCACGTCAGTACATTAAGTACTCGAGTATTGTTTGTTTCAATACTCTTCTTTGAAAGTCTTTTAAAGTAGGATATAGTTTAATAGTATAGCCTTGAATATGGAGTGTTTACATTCATTATCACATGCTGATCCTCTTTGTGAGGGGGAATTCTCCATTTTCTAGACTTGCTCTGTGCAATATGGTCACCATTAGTACATGGCTGTTTAATTAAAACTAAATACAATTAAATTTCTGTTCCTCAGTCACTCTAGCCACATTTCAAGGGCTTATCAGTCACAAGTGGCTAGTGGCTACCATATTGGACAGTGCAGATCTAGAACATTACTGTCAGTGCAGCCCTGGTCTAGACAGACTGCCTCAGGTTTAGTGAGTTGCTCAGTAGTGGCATAGGCAGGATTTAAATCCAGGATTTTCTGAAACTAAGACCCATGCCCTTTACTACTATCTCCCCGCCATTAAACATATTTCCAAGAGATTTTGGGCAAAACAGAGGCAGAACCAGGTTCTAACACCAGGAAAGAGAAATTAAAGAGCAGGAGAGCAGTGAGGGAAGATGGCTCAGACAGGCCTGGGCCAGGCAGACAACATGCTTGGTGGCGGAGTGAGCGTAATAAAAAGCCTTTGACTACTTGCTTCCTTTAACATCTTTTTATTTTGAAGTCTTCACAACTGGCAGCTCAGCATACTACCTTTACACAAACATTTGCAAAAAATTTTTTACCAAAACCACCTCCTTGCTCTTCCCACTCCACCCCCCATTTTGTTTCACTGCCACTGGAAGCCCAGGAAATGAACTAAGAGGGACTCTCTGAGGCTTATTAAACTCACATTTGGGTTTGCTTTCAAGTGTTTGGGAGTTGTGGCCTGCTGTTTTTGAATAAGGGGTTTTTTTAATGACCATATTTTATCTAGCACAAAAAATATTTTGTACCATGTCCAAAAGTGAAGCAATTATTTTTAGACATTATGTTTTGAACTGTGGCTATTAAAAGTAAAAACCTGTGATTTTCAGTGGGTATCATGTACCTCAGCAAACATTTGGGGGGTACATTTTGATTTAGTCTTTATTTTCCAATCCTTGGGAATATAGTTTTGCCTTTGACTTGGTGAATCCATGTTTTGCTTTTTTAAAATTCAAAGCAGCATGATAATGTGGAAAGAGGACAACACAGGCCTGAAATTTGATACAGCAAGTTAAGTTCTTCAGCCTCAGTTTCACAAACTTAAAAATTGAGGCTATTACTTATTTTGTTGTCTCAGTTATTAATAACCAAAGCATTATCAGTGCAACTTAAGTCCCATATACCCTTGCTGTTCCCATTTTCCTCCTTTGCTCAAGTAATCACTATTGTAAATTTGATGTGTATCATGCCCGTGCAAGTCTATATTCTTTGAATGTTATCCAGTACTCTGTATCTTTCTTGCAACATGTTTTTCCCCACTCAGCAATGTTTTTGAGATTTATCTATGTTGATTTGTGTAACTGCAGTTCCTTAAACTCTTTCATTCAAGCATACAAATTTAGCCATCCATACCCCTAAGTCATTTTCAGATGATCAGCCATCCATACCCCTAAGTCATTTTCAGATGATCATTAATACCATCAGGGCTCTAATGAAAATCCGTGTGTATCCCTTGAGTATGTATGTTCAAGGGTTTCTCTTGGGCCTTGGTATTTGAAGTTGGCCCCTGGACCAACAGCAATGATACCACCTGGGGGATATTACCTGGGAGCTTGTTAGAAAATAAGAATCCCAGGTCCTGCCCCGGGCCCACTCAGTCAGAATCTGTTTTAATAAGACACCCAGGGTGATTTATATGTACATCAAAGTTTGAGAAGCACTGTGCTGTTCTAGGTTTACTCAGGAATGGAACCGCTAAATGAAAGAGTAGATGCATCTTCAATATTATTAGATACTTGCCAAATTGCTCTCCAGGGTGGTTGTACGCTTTTTTTTCATATCCCCATTAATACTAGGAAACCACTGTATACTATCACCAGCAGTAACTTGACCTTTTGATTACTCTCAGTGCCATGTGTATAAGTTACCACTGAAATGCTGCATTTCCTAATTATAGAGATTTTATAATTAACCAAGGTCTGCTTCATAAAAACAAAAAATAGATTAAGTACTCCTGACTCCAAATTCCGAAAACCTTTCCCAGACAGTGCGTAGAGCAGTGAGAGTTTGGAGACAGCGTATGTTCTGAGCCGGCACCAACCTCACACTGTACCTTTCCTCTCCTGGACCAGGCTCTATCCTAGAAAGAGTCTCCACATTAAAAAATTCTTCCCCCAGCTGGGCGCCTGTAGTCCTGGCTGCTCAGGCAACTGAGGACAGAGGATTGCATGAGCTCAGGAGTTCAAGACTAGCCTGGGCAATGTCGCAAGATCCCTTCTCTTGGGGAAAGGAAAAAATTCTTCCCCCAAAGGATGTCGTTCTCACTGGTTATCCATGTTAAGTGGTGCTTTATATACCACTGCTTCTCAAACTTGGCATGCACGGAAATCGCCTTGGATATCATGTTAAAATGCAAATTCTAACATTTCCCTAAGTGCTGCCAATGCTGCTGGTCCACAGATCACACTTTGAGTAGGAATGCTTTATTCCATACACCCAAAGCAGACAACACTTTCTTTTCTTTTTTTTTTTCGAGACAAAGTCTTGCTCTGTCACCCCCGGTAGAGTGCCGTGATGTTACCAGAGCTCACTGCAACCTCAAACTCCTGGGCTCAAGTGATCTTCCTTCCTCAGCCTCCCAAGTAGCTGGGACTACAGGTGCATACCACTATGTCTGGCTAATTTTTTATATACTTTGTTCCTTTATTCCTCCTTTATTGTTTACTTTTATAATTTGGTGGGGGTTTTTGTAGTGATAATGTTCATTCCTTTCTCTTTTTCATTTGTGTCTCACTGCTCTGGCAGTGAGATTTAAACATTCGTATATTCATGTTGCTAGATATCATCCTTTTGCTTTAAGCATTTCTTTAGGGCTGGTCTAGTGATGATGTATTCCCTCAGTTTTTGTTTGTCTGGGAAAGACTTTATTTCTCCTTCATTTGTGAAGGGTAGCTTTTCTGGGTATAGTATTCTGGGCTGACAGTTTTTTCTTTCAGCACTTTGAATATATTATCCCATTCTCTCCTGGCCTTTAAGGTTTCGGCTGAGAAATTTACTGTTAACTCTGATGGGGATTCTGTTATATGTGGCTTGATGCTTTTCTCTTGCTGTTTTTAAAATTATCTTCTTGTCTTTGGCTTCTGACATTTTGACTACACTGTGCCTTGCATAAAATCTTTTTGATTTGAACCTATTTGGGATTCTTTGAGCTTCCTGTTTCTGGATAGCTATACTTCTCACAAGTTGGGAGTTTTCAGCTATTATTTCATTAAATAGCTTTTCTGTGTCTTTGCCAAATTCTTCTCCTCCTGAAACTCCCAAAATTTGAACATCTATTCGCCTTACGGTATCCTATATGTCTCATAGGCTTTCTCCATTGTTCTTTCTAGTATCTGACGGGGTTAATTGAAAACACTTGTCTTCTAGTTCAGAAATTCTTTCTTCTGCTTGATCTAGCCTTATTGTTGAAGCTTTTGATTGTATTTTTTATTTCATTCACTTAATTCTTCAGTTCCAGGATGTCTCCTTGGTTCCTTTTTTATGATGTCTATTGTCTTGTTCAATTTGTAATTCGGATCATGAATTGTATTACTGATTTCTTTGTATTATTATCTGTGTTCTCTTGTATCTCACTGAGTTTCCATAAGATCATTATTTTTAATTCCTTCTCAGGCATTGCAGAATTTCTTTTCTGGGTATCTGTTATAAGACAATTACTATGTTTCTTTTTAAGTATCATGTTTTCTCGCCTTTTTGTGTTTCTCGTGTCCTTGATATATACACATCTGGTCAGTCACTTCTTCCAATTTTATGGATTGGCTTTCATAGGGAAAGACTTTTTCCTGTTGGTGAGTCTACAGTGTTGATTGGGTAGGGTACTGTGGCTTTGATTCTGGGTAGGCACAGTAGTGTAGTCTCCATAGGATTTCTTCAGCTGTTACTAACATCAGTAGTCTGTGAGTTCCTCAGCAGCCTAGGCTGCAGTTGTTAGTGGAGGTTGTGGTGGGGTTTTGCTGGTGACAGGGTCACCAGGTGAACCAGTTCTTGGGCACCAGTAGTGGTAGTGGTGGGCTGGGCAGGCCAGTTCTTGGGCCCTTGGGTGGCATAAAAAGTGGGTGCTGGTGGTGGTGGGCCCAGGAACATTGGTCCTTGGGCCTCCAGGCAGCATGCTCAGGCACCAGCAATGGCAGTGTTGGGTGGGTTCTGGGGCTCCTGGGCAGCACACATAGCCCTAGTGGTGGAAGTAGTGGCAGCAGACGAACAGTTGAACCCCTGGGCAGTGCACATAGGCACCAGCAGTGGTGCCAACAAGCTGGGTGGGTCAGTCCAGAGGCTTCTGGTTAGCATGTGTAGGTGCTGCAGATGGCAGATGCAAGTGGGATGGGCCTGTCTTCAGGCCCACAGATGGTGCATATGGGCCCTGGTGGCAGCAGTGGTTCAGGCACCCAGA